GAAAGTCCTTTTTTTTTGTTGTTGTCTCTATATTTATTATTATTTGTAACAAAAAGAAAACATGATACGATTTTGCGGAAGTCTATTTCTGATAAACTGTTAATCTATCCTCGTCTGAATCATTCAAGTTGTTTTCTTTTAAAAGCCAGATCACAAATCAGTCGCGAGAGCATCAATAGCGAAAGCCCTTGTGGCTATCAGTAGAGAAAGATCAAAGTCTAACTCAGGTAGGTACATCCATTGGCGGCGATTTTCTCGATGTCGCCCAGAGCCATCGAGCATCTAATGCAAACAAATAGCTCCAAAGGAAGACAAATCATCTCCGGCCATATTGGTCTCGTGATAAAAAACTACTGACGTACGATCTTGCCTTTTCAGCATTTTATACCGCAAATCGACGCAAGAAAAACAAAATAAAAAGAAATCGAAAAAAAATTTACTCTACACGATTGGCGCCTCTTTCTTTCTTGTGCGTATATATATATATATTCAAAACCGACGACTCCCGTATTTCTCGAATCTTGCGAGATTTTCTTACATTTAAAAACCCTCTTCTTTCGTTCAATTAATTTTAATTAAAATCGAATCACTAATTCCCATACGGGAATTGTTTCTTTCAAGTTTAGCTCATCCATTTTATGCAATCCCCGCGGCTCAATTGAAATTCAGGCAATGCGTCGAGGAGAACAAGGGAAATGATTCTAAAACGAAAACGAGAGTAGGTGGACGCATGCAGCATATATGACAAAAAGCGAATGCCTCGTAATACTTTTAGAAAAATAGAATACTTCTCGTCAGAAAAAAAATATCGTCAAAAAATTATCACTAATAATTTTCATTGCGAATTTTCTCGAAATTAATATTATTTCCTGACATCCTGCGTAACAAGTTTCAAACAAATCCCTCTTTTTATCTTTTCGCCCGCCATTTTGAATCCGCCATATTGGATTTTAACTTTCTAGGGGAAATCTACTAATTCAAATTCACCCTAAAAAAATTACATTTACAATTCTTGTCTTTTCGCGTCCAAAAGTTGACCCGATTTTGGCAATATCTGCGTTTCGTTAACATTATTCAATCGACTAATGTAATTGAATTAAACATTATGAATTAAAGCGTAACATTAAATCAAATCAAAGAAATCTATAAATTGAACCGTAAAAACGAATCAGCATTGATTCCTCGTTGAGTGGTCTGTGTGTTTCTGTGTGTGTGTATGTGTATAATAAACACACTATAAAGTACGTGATCCGGTTTTGAGCTCACGAGAAAGGTCGAGTCATCTCCCGGGGAATGCCGTCGAGGAAGGAAACACAAACGACGTGGAATTAGTTGGAACTGGGAACAAGTGACGCGGATTCCAAGAAAGCTCATCGATGAGAATCGCAGAATCAGGGTCAAGCATATTTGTCTCGCAAAACTTTTATTCTTCTCTTATTTCGCCAACTCTTAATTAATGCGCGCATCCTTTTTCAAATTCACGCCGCGCACTTCATGGGAATTCTTTATCTTCACCCAATTAGATGAAATTTGAAGAAGCAATTTTTTTTTATTCTAATTGAATTAGACAATTTTCGTCTCCTAATTGCATATTTTTGCTGAAAAAAAAGTTGCATACGAAGAAAATTTCTAAAATATATTCAAATACTATTCTAAAAATCTCTTTTTTGGCCAATTTTCTTCTTTTGACAAAACGTTCATATAATGATTAATTGCACTTCCGTGATAATAAACTTCTGCCTGTGCTTTTTTTTGACAGAAATTAATCGATTACTTAAGCAAATCATTTCAACGTCGCTACCATAAAGGTCATTATTCACCGGGTGCGCGAATTAAATCTACATAATGATATTGGCATAAATATAATAGAAGTCGAATGAAGTCTATAGAATTTTTAATCTATAATCGCCAGCATTTTGAGAATATACAATTAATCATATTAAAATATATTTTCAAATCGCGCGCGCATAAAAATAAATTAAATTCCGTTCATCAACGTAAAAAAATTATGCGCATAAAAATGGAAATAAATTGTGCGCATAAAAAAATACAATCTCTATGAATAAAATATCTAAAATACCTTTATATGAAGAAGCAAAAATTATTCTCATCAAAATAAAAAAATTGTGCCCATAAAAAGTAATTTTTTTCCTTTCTCAAAAAGAGACAAAGCAAACAAATCGTTTTCACGTTTTTTAGTCCAAAAGGGTTAGGTGAAATGCTTGCGTTTAAAATCGTAAAGAAACAACAGATATATATATATAAAAGAAAGAACGAAAGGAAAAGAATGCAACTTGTAGAATGGGAAATTCGAGAACCCCACTGGGTTTTGGATGCTCGCGAGGTCGTAGCAAACGACGTGTGACACGGGACCCTCTCACCCGCGAAGACAGCATACACGACCACACCACGAGGACTCCCCTAAGACCCCCGGTCACTATTCCCCGACAGGTCGTTTCACATTCCCACGTCCTTAATATATATATATAGGTTCTTGATACGCGAACTAGTGGGAAAATACAGAGAAATACAAATTTAAATAAATCAAATAAAAAATAATCTGTACCATGGTCAAAAATATAGAAATTTTGAGGGTTTTAAATATTGGCTCAAAATAAGACATTTTTATGGTTTTAAACTATTTTTGCCTTTACTCATGGTTCGCTATATTTAAGCAGTGATATATATTATTTTGTAATAAGCATTGGCCATAAGCAATGATGTTTCAGTTGTTGGCCAATGTTAAAAATATGGCTCAGAGCTTGTTTTGTTTGGCTAAAGTACTCTGACCATAGTTAGCTAGAATTTGTCATTTTTCCATTTCCACGCGGGTGTTTATGCCTCACTGAAGCGTGTATTTATTTTCAAATAAATTCCTCAACAATAGTGAAAAAGGCAAGAAACGAAAATGAGATGTAAGAAATAAAACGGATTGATAATTGCAGTAGTGAGTTGTACAAAATAAGACTCTAATTTGGTATATAGGACTGAACCAGAAAAACGGCAGACTGTCGTCATTTAATTGCAGTTTGCCATCAATTGACTCAAATCACGAAACAACTTGAGCTGCGTTTCGTGCTTTGCAATCATTCCTACCAACACACACACTCACACACATCACCGAAAGAGAGACGCGAGACGCCTTTTTCCGGGAGTATTATGTTTCTCCGTCAGGACAGAGATTTTCATCACTTTAATTAAAACACTGATTTCCATCGTTTACTTGATGACTCACTTTGCTGCTCAGTTGAAATTACACTATCAGTTTCAGTAAATTTCACCTTTTCACCTGCCGACGTATAATGCGAACCTAAAAGTTGACTAAAAGTCAACATTTTTATATAACATTTTATAAAATTCATTTCGAAAGTTGCACATACATAAAATAAATAGTTTACAAAGAGGAAAGATTGACAAGATTTTCATAAATTCGAATTGCTGATCACAAAATTCTTGTATTCACAAAGTTGGTAAGCTGACAAGTCGCGAAAGGGTCCTACCTTTATATGGCTTCGAATTCAGTTTGGTTCTCTTTATTCGATTTATTTATATATAAACATCGACTTCTGGTTTAGAAACTATAAATCCAATTCCTCTCACGTGCAGGAAAATGTGCGTTTTTTCCTAGGAAATTCTCACTGAGGCGAGTGATCGACTTGTCGAACGTCATACCAATGACATTTTATGGCTCAGCAAGTATACTTGAAACGACCGTTCGGATGAGACATTAGGAGGAAAAAAACACTCAAGCGCAACTTTCCTTCTTTGCAACGATTGAAAACAAAAAAAAAAACAGAGAGAAGAGAAAAAATCCACAATGCGCCCACACGTAATTTCTGAAACCTAGGAAAAAAAATTTTACCACTTTTTTCTCTCTATCTCTTTCTGAATAAAAGAGACTTGTGTGCAGTTCTTAACAAATCGGTTCAAGATTCCGGGCGTGCCGTTTGATTTAAGATAATCCAGTGATGCCGGCGCTCTCTCAGCAATATACGGATTTGTCGCACGCGCCCCTAAATGGTGATCGTTTGAACGGAAAGCCTTTCTAGCACGATCTGCACTTGTTCCCTCACTCTACACGAAGAAAAAAAACCTGAAATATTCCTATACAAGCTTCTCTGGTGTTACACTGTCAATCGTAAATTTGTCCCTTTAACAATAAATCACACGATTATTATCTTTATTCGAATTGTCAAAAAAAAAAAAACGAAAAAAAGGGTTTTTATCCGAAAGCCGATACTATCGCTCTGAGAAATATACACGAAGAAAATTATCAGCGCAGGTGTCTTTCATAAACTGTCTTTTTGTGACAACAGCTCACAGAAATTGTTTAAGATCGGTACCAAAAGATTGCAATGTGAAACTGTAGCTTCAGGGAGATACTCGAAACGCAACATGACAAACGATTTTTTTTTGTAAAACCCGTTAAGAGAGTATTTTATGCACTCTGTAGTATAAATATAGTTTATGGAGTATTAAAAATGTTAAAAGTGTAAAACAATTTCGAGAAAACTTGCTGAATGACAATGGTGATCCGTTACTCGCGCTCTGTCGCCCACATGATTTCTTTTAATTCAGATGATAATTTATTCGACAACAAGGAGTGACGAGTGCGAAACTTTAATTATTGAAAAAAATGATACGAAAAGTGTTGTAAACGTTAGTTTACAACACTTTTCGTATCATTTTTTTCCGTAGATGTTTTAAAAATCAAGCTTTTTTTAACTAATTGCATAACTGTTTGAAAAGAAATTTCATTGAATTTCCGATATAAGCGTAATTCTTCTACAATTTGTGCTTCATTATTATTTCGTACAAACCTTGAATTTTTGATATAAGCGTAATTCTTCTACAATTTGTGCTTTATTATTATCTCGTACAAGCCTTGAATTTCCGATATAAGCGTAATTCTCCTACAATTTGTGTTTCATTATTATGTCGCACAAACACTATCAATCTAATATAATTTTATCTAATGATGAATTTTTTATTTGTTTCAGTCCTTCTTCGGGCGCACATACAACAACCTGGGCAGCATCTCGGAGTGCAAGAATGGCGGTGTTTGCGTAATCAACAAGAAAAATCGCACTGCGTGCAAGGCGTGTCGACTGCGAAAGTGTCTGATGGTGGGAATGTCAAAGTCCGGCTCACGCTACGGTAGACGATCGAACTGGTTCAAAATTCACTGTCTACTTCAGGAGCAGACGAACGGCAATCAGAACATGGGTTCACCCGCCGGCTCACCATTTGGACCTGGATTCATTCCCGGCTTCCTCTCCTCGCCCCCATCGCAAACGCAGCAAAATCTCATCTACAGTAAAGAAGGCAAGGAGCGAACGTCACCAAGTCAAGAGGACCTCGCCCTCCAATCGCACATTCTCCACGTGGCAATGATGAAGCAGGAACGCGAACGAGGCAACAAATCACCCCATCCCGACGATATTGCCCTGCAAAATCATCTCAGGCTCCTCGCGTGGCAGAAGGAACGCGAGAGAATCAATCAGCATCCGGGCACACCGCCACGAGACACCACGCCACCCTCCTCATTCGGCTACAAGCACCCCATGTCAATGTCGCCAATATTCCCCGTCAACTTCACCCAAAAAGAGGCTATCGTACCCACGAGTCCACCGGAAGTATTCCGACCATTCCTCCCCACTTACAAGCGATCCGCCGACACACCAAGTGACAGCGGCGCCTCGTCAGTCGACGGCGAACACGAAGAGTCCAGGAGCAATTCGGCGCTGAGCTACTTCAAAGTCAGTGCTTCGCCCACGTTGTCCGAGAGGGAATTCCCACCGAGAAAAATTAACGCCACTGTCACACTAACCACTGGATATCCTCATCATGGTCTGGGACTTGTCTACCCTCCCCCTGGACTAATCACACCAGCAGCCTCACAACATTCGCCGAGGGGTGGCGATCTTCTTCTAGTGAGTCCGAGTCCCGGCGGTTTGGCGGTCGAGCAGGACGAACCCATCGATCTCAGTATCAGATCGAGTAGAAATTCACCCAGGCCGAGTCTCATGTCGAGCGAGAGTCGCATGAACGACATGGACACTTGTAAACTCGAAATCAAGGAGGAGCCAATTACCAAAAGTAAACCTCTCGATCTTACACTTGGAGTGAAGAGGCCAGCTGAATTACCGCTCACTCTTTGAATTTTTTTTTTTTTTTTTGAATGCTAAGAGACAATAACTTTCGAAGAATAATTCGGAAATCAATTTGGATCTGAATCGCGAAATTAAATCATTTAGTTGTAAACTAAATTGGATCCTCTTGTTCTGAATTGAATTATTTAGTTGTAAACTAAATTGAATCATTTTATTCTGAGTTGAATCATTTGATTTCGAATTAAAAAATTTTATTCTGAATTTATTCTGAATCATTTAGTTCCGAATTGAATCGCTAAGTTCTAAATGAAATCACTGAGTTAATAATCGATTCACTTCTGAATTGAATCAAGTGAACCTAAATTAAATTATTTAATACAAAATTGAATCACTTAGTTGAATCATTTAATTCTGAATTAAATCATGTCCTAAGAAAATCATTTAATTCGGAACTGACTCACATAATAAATCATTCAATTCCGAATTGAATCATTCTCAGTTCTAAAAAATAACTTAGTTTTGAATTAAATAACTAAATTCTATATTGAATCACTAAGCTCTGAATTGAAATATTCAGTTCTGAATTAAATTATTTTTAATCCTAACAAATCATTTAGTTTTGAATTGAATTACTTAGTTGAGTCAAACAGTTGAGTCGGAAATTGAATTCCAATCTGAATAATTTAGTCCAAAATTGAATCATTTAGTTCTGAATTAATTAATTTCACTTAAATTGAATCATGCAGTTTAAAAATTAAAATCTAAACTGATACATCAAGTTAAAATTAAATTGATTCATTTAGTTTTTAATTGAATGAATTAATCTTAAATTAAATCATTAAATTCTGAATTAAATCACTTGGTTGAATCATTTAGTTCTGAATTGAATAATTTTTAGTCCAAAAAAATCTTTTAGTACTAAATTAAATCACTTAATTCTAGTTCTAAATTCTACATTCTAAATTGAATAATTTAGTTCCAAATTGAATCATTTAGTTTTTAATTGAAAAAAAATAAGTTCTAAATTGAATCAATCAATTTCAAATAAAAAAGTACACTAAGTTTTAAATTGAATTATTTATTTTTAAATGGAATGCTTTTGTTTTAAATTGAATTATTTGGTTCAAAATTAAATCATTTAATTCATAATTGAATCTCTAAGTTGAATTGCATACTTTTGTCCAAAATTGGATAATTTAGTTGAGAATTGAATCAATTTGTTACAAATTGAATAGTTTTATCAAAAATTGAATCATTTTATTCCAAATTGAATTATTTAGTCAAAAATTGAATCATTTAATTCAGAATTGAATCTCTAAGTTTTAAATTGAATTATTTAGTTAAGAATTGAATCATTTAGTTTCAAATTCAATAATTTGGTCCTAAATAATTGAATTGCGTAGTTCAGAATTGAATTATTTAGCTTAGAATTGAATTACATTATTCAAAATTGAATAACTTAATCCTAAATTGGATCCCTCACTTCAGAATTGAATAATTCAGTTCCAAATTAAACAGTTGCGTCCAAAATTGAACCATTTAGTCAAAAATTGAATTATTTAGTTCAGAACTGATTCACTCATAGTTCCAAATTGAAAAATAATCTCAAAATGCAAATTGTGAATATTAAAATTGTAAATTAAAGCAAACGTGAAATTTTACCGAAATCTAGATAAAATTCTCGTACGTCTTTCACGAAAATGTGTTCAAATTGTACATATAGTCTCCAATTGAGCGAAATGAAGAATCGACTTATTTATTGTATAGCTAGCTAAGGAATGAATCAAAAAAATCAATTTTTTTTACATCCCTTTCTCCCTTTGATTTTGTATAAAGAAAAAAAAAAGAAAGATGGCCAGTAGATAAAAAAAATCTATATACATATGTATATATAAATATATTATAAATATTATATAACTCTATTTATATGTGAAAGTGTGAAAGTGATGTTTTTACTTCTCTTTTTTATAAATTAAAAAAAAATAATGCGCGGAGTAAAAAATTTATTAAAATAAAAAAAAGAATTAAAAGAAAAATCCCAAATTCTATTCAAGGGCTCGTGATATTCGAACACGAGTGGCCAGTAATAATTTTCGATGTAAGTGATACTCAATGTTTAAAGAGACATTCGAGCCGATGTGTTTTGTAAATATACGAACGTATAGGGATCGTGTCCGTAGATCGATGAGTTGCTTCTTGTTTTCCGCTTGGTGTATTGGGTTTCCCATAAAGGGAGCTCAAAGTTACTCTTGTCTCTCATCTGATTTATGGCAATGTTTCATTATTTTTCTTTTTTTTTGACAAGACTTGCAGTTGTTATGGAAAAAAAAATTAAACTATATTAGTTTCAATGTTCATGTAAATTTAATACTACTTCAAGTCCTGTTAAAGTCACATTCTAATTTTGTAAATATATTAATTAGTGCTAAGTGTCATGGTTAAAGTGATCGGCCAGTACCTAAGCGTCCATCAAGAAAATAAATATTTTTGTTTATTCTATAAATTTGTGTTTTGTGCATTTTTCATTCCTAATTTTATTCCCTTTTCCAATTCCCTCACTCTATCACTAATTCTTTAAGTGTTATTCTACTTCAAATAGAACTTCAAAGAAAATTTTATTCTAAACTTCCAAAAAGTTTAAAAATTCAATAATTTTAATAAATTTTTAATTTAATAATTTATTAATTTAATTTCAATTTTGAATTCAATTTAATAATTTCCAATAGTATAATTTTTTAGTAATTTAATAATTTATTTAAAAATGTTTTATTCTCATTTTATGTAATTATTTTCAATAAGTGGGAAAATTAATTTTGTTGGGGAAAAAAATTTCCATGAGTCATTTATTTAAAGACGAGAACTTTGATGACTTTTTCAGTTTGAATATTATATTACACACGCTTTGAAAAAGACGATACACGAGGATTCAATTGGCAAGAGACCATTAATCAATTGCACCAGGAAGAGAAGATTGAAAAATCATTGAGTTACAGATCACAACGCTTGACCTTGGCGGGTCGAAAATTTTTTTCCAAAGACTTCCTCAACATTCATTTACGAGGATATTTTCTATCGATCGAAAAATCATTAATTCCATGCTTCTTTGCATTCGAGAAAATTTTATCTTCTATTCAGTAAAGTTATTTAGAAAACAAATTAAAAATTGGAAATTAATTTTAGTTTTTACTTTTTCTACTAATTGCGGTTTTCTGTCAATTTTTACATTTTTCCGAATTAATAAAAAAGTAGTAAAAATTTACTCTTTCGTAAAATAGCAAAAATTGACACAATTGCGCAAAGAAATTTACATTTTACTACAAAAGTTCGCAAAAGTTTATTCTTTTTTTCTTTTTTTTTGTATTAAAAGAAAACAATTTTTCATTCTCCAAGCGAGTCAAGGTTTATCCTTAAATTAAAACCACAATATTTTCAAGTGGCAGAAAAAATCCCACAATTAATTAAACTATGTAAAAGATATTTGCGAAACTAAATTATATAGAAATTGAATTAAAAGCAGGATAAATAGTTTTCATTCTTTCAATCTATTGACATTCTTGAATTCCATTTTCATTCTTGAGATTCCATATAATGTTACGGTTTTATAATGAAATTTTCTGAATTATGTCGGGAGAAAAAAGTCATTATATAGGAAAGACTAAAATAAAATTTCATTTGCGAGTTTTGCAAAATAAGTTAATAAATGATGGAGAAATTTGCATTGTTGTCTCCCTCTCTCTTTCTAGTCTTAAGAAACAAGCACCAACTGACGCGGGTATTAATAGTATTCACATTATAATCAAAGTGATTTCCAGTTGCCACGAAACGGTTTCATGTTGTTGGAAGATACATGGATCAGATGAGATGGTTCATGCAATACGTAAAACTCACCGCGTATCAAACATGATTCAAGCGTATATACGTGAGATATGCGTATTTGTATATATGTAGACACGTTATGTATTGTGTATATTTATGTATTTGTTTTTATATATACTACTAGCGGTTGTACTTTTCTTCGACGGGTATAATATTGAGATATAAAAATTTTTTTAATTTATAATTACACCTGATACGCGTTTTTTGTGTATTAAATTATTCTCTGAGAAATTTCCAATTATTATTTAGCCAATTTCAATTTTAAACTTATTCTCTAAATTTAAATTAGTAAAAATGTTTAGTAATTTGAATTAGTGACTTTTTGCTTTTAAATTAGTAATTTTTACTAATAAATTAGTAGAAATAACTATTTATTAGTAAAATTTACTAATTTAAAAGCAAAAAGTCAGTCTAATTCCAATTAGTAAACATCCCAAGCAAAAATTTCTGTCAAATGCCAGTATTCACAACTGGCGCAGTATTGCACCAGTACTGGCATGCCAGCAGTTGGCATGCCAGTACTGGTTCAGTACTGGCTTCACTAAAATTTCTGTACTACGCCAGTACTGCCCTTTAAGACTGTTATGCCAGTACTGTGCCAGTATTGCTAACACGGTAAACTGACAATAGTCAGTTAGGAACTAATTAATGGAAATTTATGCGGTAATTTATAGAAATTTTCGCAATAATTCGAAAAAATATGTAAAGCAAAAATTATCATTAAAATTTTGGATTTCAGTCATTTATGGAAATTTTATGGTAATTTATGGAAATTTATGTAGAACAATTTTTTAAATTGTTTAAACAATTAATTGTTATTTTTTTATAAACTGCAATTAGGGCTAGAAATTACTAGTTTTTTCTAAACTGCACAATTTTTCATGTGTAAAACATCTACTAATGATAAAAAATAAAGTAGTTAAACATTGTTCAAACAATTAAATGTTGTTATTTTTATATAAACTGTACTTATGGCTAAAAATTTCTATTTTTTCTCAGTTGTGCAATTTCTCATTAGTAAAACATCTACTAATGACAAAAAAATAAAAAATAAATTAATTAAACATTGTTTAAACAATTAATTGTTGTTATTTTTTTATAAACTGTACTTAGGACCAGAAATTACTAGTTTCTTCTCAATTGTACAATTTTTAATTAGTAAAATTTCACAATTAAGAAAAAACTAGAAATTTCTAACCCTAAGTACAATTTGTTAAAAAATAACAATTAATTGTTTAAACAATTCAATAAATAAATGATATTTTATTTTTTATCATTAGTAGATGTTTTACTCATGACATATTGCACAGTTGAGAAAAAACTAGTAATTTCTAGCCCTAACTACTGTTTATAAAGAAATTAAAAAAAAAATTTTTGAACAATTTAATAAATTGTTATACTTTTTTCATAAATCAGAAACACTTAAACATTATTTTAAAAGGTTTTTTTTTATTAATTTTCTTAATTAATAAAGGTAATAAAAAATATGTTTTACGGTTTTATGATTTTTTTAATAGGGGAGAGTCGGGTAAGTTCGGTTGTCGTGTAAGTCCGTTTTTCTTAATAAATTTTACAAAAATAATTTCTTTTGTAAAATTCTTTTTGAGAATGTTTTATTATAAGGTATAACTATATGGTTTATACAAAATTTCGTATTAATTGGTTTGTTATTAACAAAAATATTTAACAATTGTGAAAATCATGATTCCAATCGATAATTTTTTCAACTTTTAGAATTTTGGAAAAACAATACTTATCATTCATAGATTTCTATAATTTTTTTCTACTAGAATTGTGGAACATTCCTATTTATGAAAACTGTTTTTTAAATATTGAAAGAAATCTTTGAAATGAAAAATGTTTGTTAATATCTGAACTAATCGATAGGGTATTTAATTACGAAGATTTAGAAAAAAAGAAAAATCGTTTTGGTAATCATGATTTTTTGAATCACACTCTACAGCTGCTAGAGTGATTTGAAACGAAAAAGTACTTTTTTCGCCACTG